ATTTATTTTGGACTCTAAATACTATATTTAATTTTTGTTTTAGTGTGAAATTTTATTGTGTAAAATTATTTTATTTGAAAGTTTGCATTTCTACAAATATTTCTAATGTGTAATTCCTAATTCTTTATTTAATTACCGAGTGACACTTGTCGGACACCAAAGGGACAGAGTGTTTATGCCCAAGGACCTTTTAATCACTTTTCCAAACAACTTGTAATTATTTAATTATCGGCTTTCTTTATGTCCATGTCATCAAATAATTTCCTTAATTGTTCACTGTATCACTTTTACTCATTGTCAACACCTGTCATTTTTAACTCATTGTTCATTTTCCCATAAATACAATTGTCAAATTTTACCGAGCAGTTCGGAGGCCCGACGCATTACTGGCCACTTCCGTCTGTGTTCCCCGCTTGTATTTCTTGAATGTTAAAATTGTTGTCCATCATTTAATTACATGCATTTATTAATAAACTCGGAAACCAAATTACTCGTTACTTTGGACCTTATATGTGTTATCGGGAAGAGTCCTTGGAATACGGCTCTACTACTTCCGGCCAACGACGCCACTCACTTCCCCTGCCAACATTCCCTCTTGCCCGATCAACGACACATCTTTTAGACCCAAACTACGTGGTTATATTTGGTGGAGGGGGTTACAGTCAACGACAAATTAGCTTTAAAAGTTTGACAAGTAAAAAAGGAAAATTGTCCATTGGCAAACTATTAAATCCTGTATCGTTAATGTGTATGTGTGTACTTTGGAGGGGTGTGTGTTAAAATTTACCTTCTTTTACATTCGAATGATGACTGCACTTAACGCTGTGTTTTGGGTCTTTTTTGGTCGCTTCTGTTCTTTTAAATCTTAACCTCTTTTCATTTTAAATTTATATATTTACACCCAATCTAAATTTTAAAAATAATTTTGAGATGTACACGTAATTATAATACAATAACTAATTTAATGTTTTTGTTCTTACACTTATCTGAAACTTGATTGAACATTATGTATTTATTACAGGTGGAACTAACGTCGTAAGAATGGATGTATAATTAGACTGGATGAATAACAATGACATCTATACTTAAAAAGTAAAAAATTTTGCTAATAAACTCCGAAACGGGTGCACCAGAGTTCTTAATTACTACTCTAATACTTCACTACATACAAGATGATATCCGTAAACTATAATTAAATTTCACACGGATAGTAAGTATCGTATAATAAAATATAAGTCTTCTTCAATTTTCTAAAAACACCATGAAATAGCATCAACGTGAGTATGGTGGCGTTTCCGGTTGGCGGATCTAAGCTACTGGCAAATTTTAATGAAACTGACAATCGATAATCATTTATTTCGTAAAATGTCATCACAGAATTATTCAATCAAAATTTGATTTAAATGATATAAAAGAAATAAAATGTGGTAACCGATTAAAAAGCAAAGAGTGCAAACTATTTTCGTCAATCATCGATCTCAATTTTGACGGAAGCTTCTAGAACATCATGTCCCTTTTGCTACATTGTTTTAATCAAGAAATAATTGTAGAGAAGTAACTAACGGGTTATTTGATTAAATTGTTTTACAACAAATAATGTTGTATAAATTAAAATACAATAAAAACAAGATGCCCATGGGTCACACCGCTCACCTGATTAGCATTGACCATGCTTTCTTTACCAGATTTTCCCCTAGTTATACTTATTGTGACCCAACCCTACCCCATGGGTCATAATTTGGACAATTTAAAATCCACACTACACGAGGATGCTTTCGCATAAGTTTCAGCTTTCCTGGTCAAGCAGTTCTTGAGAAGAAGATTTTTAAAGTTTTTTTCCTATTTATTTTCATGTAAAACTTTGATTCCCTACTGTGGTCCGGTCCTACCCCTTGGGTTATGATTTGAACAATTTAAAATCTACACTACCCCGGAATGCTTCCACTTAAGTTTCAGCTTTACTGGTCCAGTGGTTCTTCAGAAAAAGATTTTTAAAGCTTTTTCCTTTGATTCCTTATTGTGGTTTCGCCCTTCCCCCGGGGGTCATGAATTTTACAATTTAGAATCTACACTACCCTAGCATACTTCCACATAAGTTTCAGCTTTTCTGGTCCAGTGGTTCTTGAGAAGAAGATTTTTAAAGATTTTCCGTATTTAATTCTATGTAAAATTTCGATTCCTTATTGTGGCCCTGCCCTTCCCCCGAGGGTCATGAATTTTACAATTTAGATTCTACACTACCCCAGCAGGCTTCCACATAAGTTTCAGCTTTTCTGGTCCAGTGTTTCTTGAGAAGAACGTTTTTAAAGATTTTTCTTTTACATTTCTATATAAAAATTTGATTCCCTATTGTGGCTCCGCCCTTCCCCCGGGGGTCAGGATTTTTACAATTTAGAATTTACACTACCTAGGAATTCTTCCACATAAGTTTCAGCATTTCTGGTCCAGTGGATCTTGAGAAGAATATTTTTTAATTACACAACCCTATTTTTTGTCTTTTCTTAATTATCTCCAATTGAGAAGGGACTTAGCCCATTTTGAACTCCCATTTACCCAAGGATGCTTTGTACCAATTTTGGTTAAGATTGGCCCAGTGGTTCTTGAGAAGAAGTCGAAAATGTGAAAAGTTTACAGACGGACGGACAAACAGCTAGACGGACGACGGACAAAATGTGATCAGAAAAGCTCACTTGAGCCTTCGCCTACAATATATTTAATTTTCTGTTGTAAATGGTAACTATATATATAAATTCAATTTCCAGCGCTTGTGCGGGCGTTTATCTAGTATTAATAGTAAAAATACGAGATCTCTATTTACCATCTTCCTATTTATTCTGTGTAGCACACTTACATTATTTACTAAGACTTTAAATGTATGAGCCCATCCATGTAAGTAATTGAGCATCTGAAGCAAGCCTGGTATTTAATATACAGCGGCGGATCATAATATTATAAACAAAATGGCGTCGTCGCGTTATTAGCAACAGTATACGGATCCGGTACATAAAAATAACGATTTCTGCATTATAAACAGATTTGTATAAATGAAACTTACCTAATATTTTGTGGCATACCCCTTTGATCTTATAATCTTAATCATTCGTTGTGGAAGTGATCTGTAAAGGTTCCGTATATAATGAATAGGGATTGTGGTCCATATTCTCCGAATTTCTTGTTCTAGATCCGCTACGTTGGTATTTTCTAAGCTGATTTTTCAACAAAAGCCAACAGTTTTCAATTATGTTAGCATCTGGAGATTGGGCAGGCCACAGCATTCCTCGAATATTATTTTCAGTTTTGTAATTTATCACAATCCTTGCGCGATGCACTGGCGCATTGTCGTCTTGAAAAATAAAGTCATTCTGTGGAAAATGCTGGGCAACAACTGGCCAGTTCATTATCAATTATTTCCCTGTACTTTTCAGCATTGATATTGCCATTGACAACTGTCAGAGTACCTGGTCCATTCCAGCAGATACACCCCCAAATCATTAGACTAACCTTTGCGCCACGACCGGGGCTAATGCATTGCGGCATCCACTCCTCTCCGGGTCTCCGCCACACATATACGCGATTATTTTCTCCAATAATCACCTTACATTCATCAGAAAAAATAACACGATTCCAGTCACCATCAACTTTCCAATGCCTTTTCCCCCTAGCCCACTCGACTCGTTTCTTTATGTTCACATCTCGGATTCGTATGTTTTTTCTTACAACTCGTCTGTGGTATTTATTTCGGAACAAACATCTTTTTACAGTTACTTCTGAAACAGTATTCCCCCGAAACTGGTTGAATCTGGCAGTGATATCTTTCAGAGGTTCGACACGATGTGTTTTTACTAACCTCAAAATTGACCGTTCGTCCTGAACACTAAGTTTTTTCTTTCTTCTTGTTCTAGGCTTATTCTCCAACGAACCCCGTTCCTGATATCGCTTTATCACAGCACAAACTGTACATCGGTTTAATCCTAGGCATTTTGCAATTTCTGATTGTTTTATTCCACTCTGAAAACTATTTACGATCCTTTGTTTTAAGCTTGGTGATAAATCTTTCGCCTTTCCCATTCTCTGTTTACATACAGAATGACGTAATTTATTGCATCACAATCATGATACGTCATATCTTATTATAACATAATACGTCATTTAACCCAGTCATGTGCCCTTTTTATTTAAACATGCAAACTGAGAGGAGCTACAGATAAATAAGAGTGAACGTTTCTTTTTAACCGCAATTGTAACCCATTTTGTTTATAATATTATGATCCGCCGCTGAATGTATCACCCATGCAAGTTTGGTCAACATACGGCTCAAAGTTACTTGGAAAATGAGACCTGCACAAAAACTGCACCAAAAATGTTAACCTGCTCCAAACTTTTTATGCGAAAAGAAATACATTCAATCTTTTGAAATAGAAGTAGGGATCGCATGATTGGCAACATTCATTTTTTTAATTCTTAATGTCCAAGGAAAATGTAATGACCTTGACCTGACCTTGCCTCTAAGATAAAACGGTCAAATTTATTCTCACTGATACCATCGCTTAGTTATATTGTCTTCTTGATTCTGTGAAATTTCATTAATTTTTAAAAACAAGAAATATGAGAAGAATCCTACCTTAAAAAAAACTGCTAAAAAAAAAATTAACCTGTAACGCCGACACCAATGCTATCACATATGCTTCCCCAACTTAGTTGAGGTGAGCTAAATATAACACTGTCTGTGTACGCATTAAATTTGCCCAGTCAATAAAATTGGGAATATTCCTCTTCGTCCAGCAATTTTAACTGTTGCTACGATGGAGGGCGTAATTTCATCATTTTTTATAAAAAAAAATATTTACCGACAAATCAGATTCAACTTATTTACATGAAAATTTAATATAATATTGATATAAACATAACTAGCTAAAGCCATTTCTTTAACAAATAATTTATATCAATACGGCTTTGGTGAACTGTAAATTAATATAAAGAAATGTAGAATTTTACAATACCTGGGTTTTCACCACCAATATTATTGTCGGTGTATACTTTTAACTCCAGCATGTCTTCATCATTGTTGAAAGATACGTCACACTTTACCATTCTAAATTTATATTCATGCAACATCTCACAAGTTGAATCCAACAAACAAAAGTTTTTCTTGGAAACAGCAAAGCGTAAATTTTCATTCTTATCCTCATCTGGGAATTTCACAAACCAGCTCCATATTTCTCCTACAAAGTTTTAATTCAAATACGATCTTTATTCATTCATACTAATCAGCGATTTCCGGAACTAAATTGCTGAACATCAATGTATATATTCCAATGTTGAAACGAGGCGAACTTTCAGAACCATTTTAGAACAACCGTTAGGTCATTGCGCGTCAAAATATAACAAAACGGTGGGCCGATCCTGTAAAACATTCAATTCAAGGTAACATACCGTATTAGTGGAAATTTTAGCGAGACACAAATTTGGCCATTTCTCCTTAAAAATTGGTATTTTATTATTAGCGAGATGTAATTTTAGCGTTTTTAAAAAGCTGACCAAAAGAAGCTATTACAAAGAAAGCGCAATTAATTTTTAGCGATATTCAACTTTAGCGATCTTGGCAGCATCGCTAATAATGCCAAAATTAAATCTTCGCAAAAAATTCTACGGTATTATATCTTATTCTACAAATACAAAAAGAGGCCCATGGGCCTTATAGGTCACCTGAGTATCATGTAACAACTTTCACTCAGTTGTATTTGGTTCGTGTTTTAAATAAAAAGACAGGAAATTCCCAATTTTGAAAGAGGCACAATATTTATCATAATTATACACTTAGCATGCTAACTTGTGCTAACACAGAGGTAGATCAGAGATAAAAAGAGAAAATACATTTCCATTTTATAATCACCAGTTGTGTACCCCATCCAACAGGAACCACTAGCCCTGGGTCCACACATTTCAAAATTTTGGAAATTTTATCATAAATTTTATTTCATCATAAATGGTTAATTAATACCAATGTGCAAATTTCAAAGCATTAATTCATTTTCAGACTAAGTACCCACTCAACAACACAATTACCCCTGACCCAAGGGCCCTGAATTTACATGTAATCACTTTGGAAGAAGAACCTTTCTTCATCATAAATTTGTACTTAGATCTTGTGCATTATATCCAAGAACAAAGGAAAAGATTTTCAAAGAATTCATGCATTTTGACTATAATTATTATCATTATAGCCCGCCCTAACATCAGATCTAGAACCCCTGACCGTGGGGCCCTAAAATTCATAAATTTGGAAGAAGTATCCTTCCTCATCTGAAAAATGTGCATAGTTCGTTTGTTTAATACCCAGGAGCAGAGGAGGAGAAGATTTTAAAAGAATTTATGCATTTTCACAATATAATAAATAGGGCCCCGCCCTAACATCAGAAACCCCCACCCAGTGGCCATGAAATTCACAATTTTGGGAGAGACATTTCTGCTCATGATAACTTTGCACTTTGTTAGTTTTTTAAATACTTAGGAGCACAGAAGCAGATTTTCAAAGAAATAATTAATTGTCACTACAAAATCTATATAGCCCCACCCTAGCACTAGAACCCCTGACCCTGGGGCCATGAATTTCACAACTCTGGTAGAGGACTCAATGCTGATTACAATCATGCCAACAGTTAGTCTGCCTGATGTCCTGGAGTAAAGAAGAAAATTCTTTAAGATTGCATTAATTTTAGTGGTTTTGGCCCGCCCCTCAGGCCCCAATGGGGGGGGGATGGCAGGTACCATGAAATTTATAAAGGTCAGAAGGTTATTTTCACCCATAGATGATTTGTACCAAAACTGGTTGAGCGGTTGCAGAGAAGAAGCTGAAAATGTTTAAATGTTAACACAAGACGGACGACGCACGACGACGGACGAAAACAGATAGCAATAGGTCACCTGAGTTTACTCAGGTGACCAGCCCGAATGTACACAGGGTCGATCTCGGAAACACCCCAGCATTTTCAATAAAATACTTTGCAGTTAGTGGAATAACGGCTGGAATCATTCATCATAGCACCGATTTTTGCGTGAATTTTGGTCTGCCCTTTAATAAAATTATGAAATGCTGATAGATTTTGATCAAAGATATATTTTAAAACAAGATACATGTATATTTAGAGGCACTCCTGTCTTAGGGTCAATGTTCACCAAAAAAAAAAACAACTACAAACAAGATGTACCCGGTGGCAACAAAACTCGAAAAAGCTATTTTTAGCGTAAAGGTCACAGTTAAAGTCACAAGTTCATTAATCTTGAAGTCATTTGAAAGAACTTAATTAGTAGAGTTTGTATATCAAATATGGAGTCTCTATCCCCTATGGTTCAAATGTTATGGCGAAATTTCGAAAAAGCTATTCTTAGCATAAAGGTCACGATCAAGGTCAGAAGGATAATGACCTTGGTGTCACTTAAAGAGCTTAACTACTAGACTATGCATACCAAATATGAAGTCTCTATCTCTCATGGTTCAAAAGTTATTGCAAATGTTAAAGTTGACAACAGACAGACAAACAAACAGGACAAAAACAATATACACCCCGGATCTTTTGATCCGGGCGCACAAAAATGCCAAAGCCAATTTCTGTTATAAATATAATGAAGGATATTGAGATTACGATTAGTATTGAATAACAATACAAAATAGGAGCAGAGAAAACACGGACCTCCAAAACATCAGAGGTGGGGTCAGGTGCCTCGAAGGAGTGAGAATCCCCTGCCGACCGGTCACACCCGCCGTGTGCTCCTTGTCATGATTGGGAAATAACGGAAAAATTTGTCGTCAATTCAGTGTATAATAAATAGCCTGATAATAAGTATGAAAAGTGTCAGTTAGCATTTCACTCAATGATACAATGACCTTCATTGTAGCGACCATAAAACTTACGAAATAAACAAGACTGCTGATATTCTTGTTTCATCAACTTGTTTGTCAATAATTTACCTTGTTCATAAGTAGAGCATGCACTTGCGTACCGAATCAACCGAGATATAAAAGTTCCATATGCAGGCGATGAAAATATGTTGCTGCATAAGTAAGGTAAAAGTTAAAGCCATCACGTTTATCATAGAGCTTGGTTGTTAGATTACCATTAACGTCTTTTTCAAGTATATAGCCAAGTATGAAACAGATGTGTCAGACTCTGTGGTATCTTTTATCTCAAGCTAACCAGAATATATCGTATCGACATAGAAATGATTAAACGTTTCATAGTCAGTATAGCTCAGAAAGATAGAACGCAGACGTTCAAAATAAAAAAAAAAATATAGACCACAGGCGTTCACCATGAACATTTTTAGGTCACCGAGTCACTCTGGTGTCCATGCCAATTTCTGTCAGATTTGACCGTCGGCGTTCGTCGTGCGTTAACACTTGAACATTTTCAGATTCTTCTTTAAAACCGCATAACCAATGACAATCAATTTTAGCATTTATCATCTATGAGTAATGAAGAAGAAAAATTGTGAATTTCAGGATACCTGCCCCCCTTTTGGGGCCTGAGGGATGCGGCTAAAACCACCGAAATTAATTTGAATCCGCTTAATTCTTTGCTAAACAAAAGTCTTGAAAAATCTTTACTCCTGGACAACAAGCAGTCAAACTGTTGGCATTATTGTAATAAGCAGAGAGCCCTCTACCAAAATTGTAAAATTTATGGCCCAGGGTCAGGGGTTCTGGTTTTAGGTTGGGGCTATATAGATCATGTAGTGAAAGTGCATTATTTATTTGAAAATCTTCCTCCCTGCTCATGGGTATTAAACAAACTAAGTACATACAAGTTATAATAACCAAGAGTGCCTCTTCCAAAATTGTGAATTTCATGGCCCGAGAGTCAGACGTTCTTATGTTAGGGCGGGACTCTATTGATTATATACTGAAAATGAATTAATTCTTTGAAGATATTCTTCTCTGGTCCTGGGTGTTAAACAAATTAACGAAATCTAAAGTTATGATGAACAAGAGAGTCTCTTCTAAAATTGTGAAATTCGTGGCCCCTGGGTCAGGGGTTCTGGTGTTAGGTTAGGACTTTATTAATTATATATAGTGAAAATGTATTAATTCTTTGAAATTCAGGGGTTCTGGTTTTAGGGCGGGGCTCTATTGAATATATTGTAAAAATACATTAATTCTTTGAATATCTTCTCCTTTGCTACTAGGTATGATATAAACAACTAAGTATAAGTTATAAGCTTGGGTGCATCTACCAGAATTATGAAATTCATGGCCCTTGGGTCAGGGGTTCTAGTGTTAAGGTGGGGCTCTAATAATTATGTAGTGAATATGCATTGTTTCTGTTAAATAATTCTGGCTAGATCTTAGTGTTGAACAGATAAACAAAGTACATAGTTATCATTGATAAAAGTGCTTCTTACAAAATTTTGAAAACTTTATTGTCCCAGGATGAGGGGCTTTTGCCGTGGGGTGTATTGAATTCTTAGTGACAATGTGTTAATTCTTTGAAAATCATCAACAAAATCGTCAAAAGTCAAAAGTAATGATGATGAGGGTTCCTTTTTCAACTCTGTGAAATCCACGACCCTGCGTCATGGATTTTGGTGCTAGGGTAAGGTTGTGTTGAATCTGTAGTGAAAATGCATTATTTCTTTGAAAAATCTCTGCTCTTTGTTATATCAAAAGCAAACAAAGTGAATATTTCAATGAACAAGGATATTTTTATCAGATTTTTAAAATCAGGACCATTTGATCAAGAGGTCTGATCCGCCCAATATTCCGACGGATCGATAGTCCGGCAGTCCGTCGGCCTGATAGTCCGACGGGTCCAGTAGCCCGGTGGTCCGATTATTTGTGGTCACATGTAAGCCATTCCAAGCAAACGCCCCCTCCCCATTCTGTGTCAAATATTTTTGAAAATTATCACTGGAGTACATGTGTACAAATACAACTTTTGCTGAACATAACCTCTAAGTATTATTTAGAGAACTCGACATGTTCTGTATCGTAGATACAAATTTGGGGGCAGACGAGTGCGAAAGCACGAGTCTCCGCCCCCAAATTTGTATCTGCGATACAGAACCTGTCGAGTTCTCTAAATGATTTGTGACACGATCAATCAAAAATAGCTCCGCCCACTTTATAACTTTGCAGCGTCCAAACTTCCGCCAGAGTTCTGTAGATGAGGCCCCGACGGGGAGTACGCATCCGCAGTATATATTTATTTCCACGGAAAACGTAAAA